TACAGGAGAAGATGCCCATTGGGGCGAGCCTTGAAGTGGGGACAGCTGAAGAGTAGTCGGTGAGAGGAAATGCTGAAGTTGAAGAAAAAGTGCCAGGGCTAAACCCAGCTGCGTGGCAATACGTCGATGCTGCAAACAACCCAACAACTGGCTAGGCTTGGAGGCGGGTCTGGAAGGCGGCGGTGGCAGTGCTTCAACATTCAAGGTGGAAACAATCTGTCTTCAGGTGGTGTCTTCTTCTTCTTCAATTTCGTGTTTCTTCTTTCTTCTTGCTTCGAGTAATCATTTGATGTTTGTACTCGGCGTAGTCTGGTGGGAAAAGGTCCTTTGACAATGTGGTTTCGTCGCATTCAACGAAGATTACTTCGTTCCTTAGTGTGTACTTTAAGTTTGGATCATTCAGCAGGCATTCCGCATACCTTGTGTTGGGTATTTTGCTGGAGAGGCGTCTGTATTCGGGAGTTCCAAGTGTAAGTTTTTCACGTTGATCATATAGTGCGGAGACTCTTGGAGACTCCACTGTTGCTGGAGATGGTGATTGTGCTTCAACGTCAATCGAGGCAGTAGAGTCATCATCGGAAAACAAGTGTTCGTTTGCAGAAGCATCAGGTGTAGGTACCTGTGAAGCTGGTGTAGTCTCAGGTGCGGCTGGTGTATTTTCTAGTGAAGCTGGTGAAGTTGGTGCAGTCTCAGGTACCATTGGAGAAGTAGATGGTTCGTCTGGAGTAGTAGCAGTGTGCAAGGATGTAGGAGAATCTGTAGCAGGTTGCACAGGGTGGGCGTCAGCAGACAGGATATCTGCCAATGCAGTTGAAGAGATGTTGATGTTAGAAGCAGAAGTGGTATTTGTTGCTGAAGTCGTAGCATTGGTGTTGGCTGAGGCTGTTGTTGTGAAGAGCTCGTCACGAGTAAATGTTGGTAAACCGTTGTCAGCGTACATAATGTTCAGAATTCGTACAAATTCCTTGGTGTTCGTGCCTGCAATCATTTCAGCAGTGCGGATGAGTCCCATTATGACATTATGGTTCCTGTTAGGGAGCAGCATCTGGTGTGGCGAGGGCTGTGCTCAGCCCGGATCTAAATATTCTTACGATGTCCAATGTCCGGATGTTGAGATAATGTTATGTTACTTCATGGCGATGTTGTGTCGTAATAGGGCAGCGGCCCCGTGGCTGAAACCCTGAAATTATTATAAAATTTATCACTGAAGGTTTACTGTACACCTGATCCTATATAAGAGTTATCGTATCAGATTCCATAAAAGTTATCATACGTCAGAACCCATAAAAGTTGTCGTACATTTGATCGGAAACTGCATGAATTTAAAAGAAAAACATAGTAAATGTATGAATTAGAATCAGCGCCAAGAGATGGATCAAGGGAGTTGGTAGAGGTCCTGAAGCTGTGGTACAACCAGTGGAAGAGTTGGTAGAGGTCCTGAAGCTGTGGTACAACCAGTGGAAGAGTTGGTAGAGGTCCTGAAGCTGTGGAACAACCAGTGGAAGAGTTGGTAGAGGTCCTGAAGCTGTGGTACAACCAGTGGAAGAGTTGGTAGAGGTCTTGAAGCTGTGGAACAACCAGTGGAAGAGTTGGTAGAGGTCCTGAAGCTGTGGTACAACCAGTGGAAGAGTTGGTAGAGGTCTTGAAGCTGTGGAACAACCAGTGGAAGAGTTGGTAGAGGTCCTGAAGCTGTGGTACAACCAGTGGAAGAGTTGGTAGAGGTCTTGAAGCTGTGGAACAACCAGTGGAAGAGTTGGTAGAGGTCCTGAAGCTGTGGTACAACCAGTGGAAGAGTTGGTAGAGGTCTTGAAGCTGTGGAACAACCAGTGGAAGAGTTGGTAGAGGTCCTGAAGCTGTGGTACAACCAGTGGGAGAGTTGGTAGAGGTCTTGAAGCTGTGGAACAACCAGTGGAAGAGTTGGTAGAGGTCCTGAAGCTGTGGTACAACCAGTGGAAGAGTTGGTAGAGGTCTTGAAGCTGTGGAACAACCAGTGGAAGAGTTGGTAGAGGTCCTGAAGCTGTGAAACAACCAATGGAAGAGTTGGTAGAGGTCCTGAAGCTGTGAAACAACCAATGGAAGAGTTGGTAGAGGTCCTGAAGCTGTGAAACAACCAGTGGAAGAGTTGGTAGAGGTCCTGAAGCTGTGGTACAACCAATGGAAGAGTTGGTAGAGGTCCTGAAGCTGTGGTACAACCAATGGAAGAGTTGGTAGAGGTCCTGAAGCTGTGGTACAACCAATGGAAGAGTTGGTAGAGGTCCTGAAGCTGTGAAACAACCAGTGGAAGAGTTGGTAGAGGTCCTGAAGCTGTGAAACAACCAATGGAAGAGTTGGTAGAGGTCCTGAAGCTGTGGTACAACCAATGGAAGAGTTGGTAGAGGTCCTGAAGCTGTGAAACAACCAATGGAAGAGTTGGTAGAGGTCCTGAAGCTGTGGTACAACCAGTGGAAGAGTTGGTAAAGGTCCTGAAGCTGTGAAACAACCAGTGGAAGAGTTGGTAGAGGTCCTGAAGCTGTGAAACAACCAGTGGAAGAGTTGGTAGAGGTCCTGAAGCTGTGAAACAACCAATGGAAGAGTTGGTAGAGGTCCTGAAGCTGTGGAACAACCAGTGGAAGAGTTGGTAGAGGTCCTGAAGCTGTGGAACAACCAGTGGAAGAGTTGGTAGAGGTCCTGAAGCTGTGGAACAACCAGTGGAAGAGTTGGTAGAGGTCCTGAAGCTGTGGAACAACCAGTGGAAGAGTTGGTAGAGGTCCTGAAGCTGTGGAACAACCAGTGGAAGAGTTGGTAGAGGTCCTGAAGCTGTGGAACAACCAGTGGAAGAGTTGGTAGAGGTCCTGAAGCTGTGGAACAACCAGTGGAAGAGTTGGTAGAGGTCCTGAAGCTGTGGAACAACCAGTGAAAGAGTTGGTAGAGGTCCTGAAGCTGTGAAACAACCAATGGAAGAGTTGGTAGAGGTCCTGAAGCTGTGGTACAACCAGTGGAAGAGTTGGTAGAGGTCCTGAAGCTGTGAAACAACCAGTGGAAGAGTTGGTAGAGGTCCTGAAGCTGTGAAACAACCAGTGGGAGAGTTGGTAGAGGTCCTGAAGCTGTGGAACAACCAGTGGAAGAGTTGGTAGAGGTCCTGAAGCTGTGAAACAACCAATGGAAGAGTTGGTAGAGGTCCTGAAGCTGTGGTACAACCAGTGGAAGAGTTGGTAGAGGTCCTGAAGCTGTGAAACAACCAGTGGAAGAGTTGGTAGAGGTCCTGAAGCTGTGAAACAACCAGTGGGAGAGTTGGTAGAGGTCCTGAAGCTGTGGAACAACGAAGACGTCGTGTGGTTGTCCCAGCCTCAGACCGACTTATGGATTTACTGCCTCACTTGTGAGATAATTAACCAAAATTTAATATGCAGACATTTCACAACCTGATAATGGTCCAAGATGGACCAAAATGTTGTAAATTCTTTTTTCTAGAGTTGTTGGTTGGGTGTCTAATTACCTTTTCAGTTTTCTTAAGCAAGAGTAACGTGCCAGCGTCGCCCTAGTAATATTTTCTGTACTAAATACTTCCGGTAACCTTTGACTGTAATTACTACTGAAGAAATTTTACCTGACTGCTATTGCAAGATTGGTCAGTAATGGTAAGGTTTTAGTGTGACCTTTCTTGAGATGACCTTTAGTACTTAGGTCATTCCTGGCATAACCCCCACCTCTCTCTCTCGCTACCTCCCTCCTCCCCTACCACAACACGCCCCCACACCCCCACTACCACCACTACCCTCCCCTACCACAACACGCCCCCCCCCACTACCACCACTACCCTCCCCTACCACAACACGCCCCCCCACTACCACCACTACCCTCCCCTACCACAACACGCCCCCCCCCACTACCACCACTACCTCCCCTACCAAAACACGCCCCCCCACTACCACCACTACCCTCCCCTACCACAACACGCCCCCCCACTACCACCACCACCCTCCCCTACCACAACACGCCCCCCGCCACTACCACCACTACCCTCCCCTACCACAACACGCCCCCCCACTACCACCACTACCCGCCCCTACCACAACACGCCCCCCCACTACCCTCTCCTACCACAACACGCCCCCCCACTACCACCACTACCCTCCCCTACCACAACACGCCCCCGCCACTACCACCACTACCCTCCCCTACCACAACACGCCCCCCGCCACTACCACCACTACCCTCCCCTACCACAACACGCCCCCCCACTACCACCACCACCCTCCCCTACCACAACACGCCCCCCCACTACCACCACCACCCTCCCCTACCACAACACGCCCCCCGCCACTACCACCACTACCCTCCCCTACCACAACACGCCCCCCCCCCCACTACCACCACCACCCTCCCCTACCACAACACGCCCCCCCCACTACCACCACTACCCTCCCCTACCACAACACGCCCCCCCCCACTACCACCACCACCCTCCCCTACCACAACACGCCCCCCCACTACCACCACTACCCTCCCCTACCACAACACGCCCCCCCCCCCCCACTACCACCACCACCCTCCCCTACCACAACACGCCCCCCCCCACTACCCTCCCCTACCACAACACGCCCCCCGCCACTACCACCACTACCCTCCCCTACCACAACACGCCCCCCGCCACTACCACCACTACCCTCCCCTACCACAACACGCCCCCCCCACTACCACCACTACCCTCCCCTACCACAACACGCCCCCCGCCACTACCACCACTACCCTCCCCTACCACAACACGCCCCCCCCCCCACTACCACCACCACCCTCCCCTACCACAACACGCCCCCCCACTACCACCACTACCCCTCTCCTACCACAACACGCCCCCCCACTACCACCACTACCCTCCCCTACCACAACACGCCCCCCCCACTACCACCACTACCCCTCTCCTACCACAACACGCCCCCCCCACTACCACCACTACCCCTCTCCTACCACAACACGCCTCCGCCCCCCATCCACCTCAGTTGGCATTCCGCTAAAAGTTGATGAACAAGACATGTCGCAAAAAAGTAGGCTGGGGTGGCAGGGTAGAAACTAGAGTAAATTAGAGAGTACCTGACAAACCGGAAACAGAAGGTTGCAGTGAGAGCGAGAGGAAGTGTCCACACACAGGAAGACAGAAAGTGGGTAGTCCTGCAAGGGCCGGTATGCGGTCCACTACTCTTCCTGGCTTATGTAAATGATCTTCCGGAGTAGTTGGGAAGGAGTAGGACTAGTCACGGCATTGTTTGTTGACGGTGATGAACTGATGTGAGTGGTAAGTCCTGAAGAGGACTACATAGTGCTACAGGAGGATCTGGACAGGCTACAGGAGGACCTGGACAGGCTACAGAAGGACCTGGACAGGCTACAGGAGGACCTGGACAGGCTACAGAAGGACCTGGACAGGCTACAGAAGGACCTGGACAGGCTACAGAAGGACCTGGACAGGCTACAGAAGAACCTCGACAGTCTACAGGAGGACCTGGACAGGCTACAGCAGGGCCTGAAGAGGACTACAAGAATGAAGTTTAGTAGAGGGGGCGAGAAGACCAGTAAGACAATACCACCTATGAGTATACATCACCAGCTTGGAACCCACACTAATAAAGGACAAAGAGAACCTTGAGAAGATCCTAAGATATACCACGAGACAGGTACCAGAGATAAGAAAAGTGACCTTTGGACACCAGAACGAGGGACACAGGTGGAAGCACAGATGCATGCGAGAAACACAAGTCACACTAACGTGATAAATATCGCTGAGATAATCACCGCTGAGTTACAGTTGATTTTCTCGGTGAGAGACAAGAAACACTGGTATAGACGGAGAGGGAACTTGTGCCTCCTGTGTTGTCTCCGTCAGCACCACTCCAGACGACAGCCGGAATGTTCTGGAAGAAGGAAGAAGTAGTGTGAAGTACCTGGAATACTAGGTAAGGTTATTTCCCTCCCCCGCCAGGCACTGCTACTCTCCCCCACCAGCCCCTCCACCCACCAACACTCCCGTCCACCCACCAACACTCCCGTCCACCCACCAACACTCCCCTCCACCCACCAACACTCCCGTCCACCCACCAACACTCCCCTCCACCCACCAACACTCCCGTCCACCCACCAACACTCCCCTCCACCCACCAACACTCCCCTCCACCCACCAACACTCCCCTCCACCCACCAACACTCCCGTCCACCCACCAACACTCCCCTCCACCCACCAACACTCCCCTCCACCCACCAACACCACACAATATGGCGGAAATGGTATTATAACCTCGTGTTCTGAACAAAAAAATTGATGTATTGGTTTCAAAAGTTCATCTACTAAAGTACTTTTTATGCACAGGCCGGCGGCAGGTGGCCGTGTCCTCCTATAGACTAACTCTATGACGCCACAGCTCTATGTCTCACTTTTTTAGAGAAGAAACTAATTTTAAGATGAATAGGCTTATTGCTGGCCATTTTTTTTCAATATTGATAACAAATATCAATCTTGCAGTGGAGTCAAGGCAGAAATATATATAACTAGCTGTACCCGGCCACACGGTGCTGTGGCTCAGCAACTCAGGCGCGTTGCTGAACCACAGCAGCACTTCCCCTGTCTCCCAGTCCTCCGTACCCCTCGTCCTCCCCATCATTCCCCACTCCCTCGTCCGATCAGAAAATTGGGAACATCAAATGATCTGAAGTTCCCATCACTGAAAAATGTGAAGAACTATCGGTGAAGAACTTTCGGAGATTAGCGATTTTGAACAAACGAACATTTACATTTTTAATTTATATAGATTATAGAAATCTACGTCGCTTATTGAACACCTCGATAAGCCATTCACACAAGTCAAAAACATCGAACATAGTTAAGCAACGATAGGCCTAATAATACTTAAACATTATAGATATGATAGATATGATATCAACGAGAGATATGATAATTATTATCATATCTCTCGTTGCTTAACTATGTTACTATGCTCGGTTTCTTTTTTGTTGGAAGACTATTGGCTAGTCCAGTAGTCATAATTGATTGGATAATCTAACGAATATTGGAAAATAAACACAACATGATTGAATTCAAAATTAATCTTGTCTTACAAACCCGCTCATATTTATTGGGGAAAACTAGCCACTGTTCAAGTCCAGGTCCTCCAGTAGACAGTAGACAGTCCTCCAGTAGACAGTAGACAGTCCTCCAGTAGACAGTAGACAGTCCTCCAGTAGACAGTAGGCAGTTCTCCAGTAGACAGTAGACAGTCCTCCAGTAGACAGTAGGCAGTTCTCCAGTAGACAGTAGACAGTCCTCCAGTAGACAGTAGACAGTCCTCCAGTAGACAATAGACAGTCCTCCAGTAGACAGTAGACAGTCCTCCAGTAGACAGTAGACAGTCCTCCAGTAGACAGTAGACAGTCCTCCAGTAGACAGTAGACAGTCCTCCAGTAGACAGTAGACAGTCCTCCAGTAGACAGTAGGCAGTTCTCCAGTAGACAATAGACAGTCCTCCAGTAGACAGTCCACCAGTAGACAGTCCTCCAGTAGCCAGTCCTCCAGTAGCCAGTCCTCCAGTAGCTAGTCCTCCAGTAGACAGTCCACCAGTAGACAGTCCTCAAGTAGACAGTCCTCCAGTAGACAGTCCTCCAGTAGACAGTCCTCCAGTAGACAGTCCACCAGTAGACAGTCCACCAGTAGACAGTCCTCAAGTAGACAGTCCACCAGTAGACAGTCCTCCAGTAGACAGTCCTCCAGTAGACAGTCCACCAGTAGACAGTCCACCAGTAGACAGTCCTCAAGTAGACAGTCCACCAGTAGACAGTCCTCCAGTAGACAGTCCTCAAGTAGACAGTCCACCAGTAGACAGTCCTCCAGTAGACAGTCCACCAGTAGACAGTCCTCCAGTAGACAGTCCTCCAGTAGACAGTCCACCAGTAGACAGTCCTCCAGTAGACAGTCCTCAAGTAGACAGTCCACCAGTAGACAGTCCTCCAGTAGACAGTCCTCCAGTAGACAGTCCTCCAGTAGACAGTCCTCCAGTAGACAGTCCTCCAGTAGACAGTCCACCAGTAGACAGTCCACCAGTAGACAGTCCTCCAGTAGACAGTCCACCAGTAGACAGTCCTCCAGTAGACAGTCCTCAAGTAGACAGTCCACCAGTAGACAGTCCTCCAGTAGACAGTCCTCCAGTAGACAGTCCTCCAGTAGACAGTCCTCCAGTAGACAGTCCTCCAGTAGACAGTCCTCCAGTAGACAGTCCTCCAGTAGACAGTCCTCCAGTAGACAGTCCTCCAGTAGACAGTCCTCCAGTAGACAGTCCACCAGTAGACAGTCCACCAGTAGACAGTCCTCAAGTAGCCAGTCCTCCAGTAGCCAGTCCTCCAGTAGCTAGTCCTCCAGTAGACAGTCCACCAGTAGCTAGTCCTCCAGTAGACAGTCCACCAGTAGACAGTCCTCAAGTAGACAGTCCACCAGTAGACAGTCCTCCAGTAGACAGTCCTCAAGTAGACAGTCCACCAGTAGACAGTCCTCCAGTAGACAGTCCTCCAGTAGACAGTCCTCCAGTAGACAGTCCACCAGTAGACAGTCCTCAAGTAGACAGTCCACCAGTAGACAGTCCTCCAGTAGACAGTCCTCCAGTAGACAGTCCACCAGTAGACAGTCCTCAAGTAGACAGTCCACCAGTAGACAGTCCTCCAGTAGACAGTCCTCCAGTAGACAGTCCTCCAGTAGACAGTCCACCAGTAGACAGTCCACCAGTAGCCAGTCCTCCAGTAGACAGTCCTCCAGTAGACAGTCCTCCAGTAGACATAGTGTACAAGGACGTCTCTAAAGCTTTCAATAAAGTACCACATGACAGACTACCCAGGACTATCCCAAAAATCTTTATCCTGACCCCTTCCAAGGGCTATATAGTCGCAGTGGCTTGGCGCTTTCTCCTGATAGTTCCATCCACAAATTTGTAGGGAAGACTGGCAAATACTTTTTTAATATTGACCCATACAAGACCTTGCAAATAGGTCATAACAACACACATCACAACAATATCAGCGAGAAATTAATGATGAAAAGGACCGTGTAGTTAGGATCACCAGTCATTGACAGCTCCACAAGTGAGTACCACTGTACCCCAGCATGGAGACACTTGTACCACTGTACCCCAGCATGGAGACACTTGTACCACTGTACCGCAACCCCCCCTCCCCCCCGAAAAAAACAACAACAACTTGGGAAAACTCAAAGGAACCTCTGACCGGGGAAAGGAAAGTGGTTAGTCAAGTGTACAGGTGTCTGGTGCCGCTCTCAACACTTGCACCACTGTACCTCAGCATGGAGACACTTGTACCACTGTACCCCAGCATGGAGACACTTGTACCACTGTACCCCAGCATGGAGACACTTGTACCACTGTACCCCAGCATGGAGACACTTGCACCACTGTACCCCAGCATGGAGACACTTGTACCACTGTACCCCAGCATGGAGACACTCGCACCACTGTACCCCAGCATGGAGACACTCGCACCACTGTACCCCAGCATGGAGACACTTGCACCACTGTACCCCAGCATGGAGACACTTGCACCACTGTACCCCAGCATGGAGACACTTGTACCACTGTACCCCAGCATGGAGACACTCGCACCACTGTACCCCAGCATGGAGACACTTGTACCACTGTACCCCAGCATGGAGACACTTGCACCACTGTACCTCAGCATGGAGACACTTGCACCACTGTACCTCAGCATGGAGACACTTGCACCACTGTACCCCAGCATGGAGACACTTGCACCACTGTACCTCAGCATGGAGACACTTGCACCACTGTACCTCAGCATGGAGACACTTGTACCACTGTACCTCAGCATGGAGACACTTGTACCACTGTACCCCAGCATGGAGACACTTGCAACACTGTACCCCAGCATGGAGACACTTGCACCACTGTACCCCAGCATGGAGACACTTGTACCACTGTACCCCAGCATGGAGACACTCGCACCACTGTACCCCAGCATGGAGACACTTGTACCACTGTACCCCAGCATGGAGACACTCGCACCACTGTACCCCAGCATGGAGACACTTATACCACTGTACCCCAGCATGGAGACACTTGTACCACTGTACCCCAGCATGGAGACACTTGTACCACTGTACCCCAGCATGGAGACACTCGCACCACTGTACCCCAGCATGGAGACACTTGTACCACTGTACCCCAGCATGGAGACACTTGTACCACTGTACCCCAGCATGGAGACACTTGCACCACTGTACCCCAGCATGGAGACACTTGTACCAATGTACCCCCAGCATGGAGACACTTGTACCACTGTACCCCAGCATGGAGACACTTGTACCACTGTACCCCAGCATGGAGACACTTGTACCACTGTACCCCAGCATGGAGACACTTGCACCACTGTACCCCAGCATGGAGACACTTGCACCACTGTACCCCAGCATGGAGACACTTGCACCACTGTACCCCAGCATGGAGACACTTGTACCACTGTACCCCAGCATGGAGACACTTGTACCACTGTACCCCAGCATGGAGACACTTGTACCACTGTACCCCAGCATGGAGACACTTGTACCACTGTACCCCAGCATGGAGACACTTGCACACACTGTACCCCAGCATGGAGACACTTGTACCACTGTACCCCACTGGAGACACTGCATGGAGACACTCGCACCACTGTACCCCAGCATGGAGACACTTGTACCACTGTACCCCAGCATGGAGACACTTGCACCACTGTACCCCAGCATGGAGACACTTGTACCCCACCACTGTACCCCAGCATGGAGACACTTGCACCACTGTACCCCAGCATGGAGACACTTGTACCACTGTACCCCAGCATGGAGACACTTGCACCACTGTACCACTGTACCCCAGCATGGAGACCACTACCACCACTGTACCCCAGCATGGAGACACTTGTACTGTACCCCAGCATGGAGACACTACCACTGTACCCCAGCATGGAGACACTTGCACCACTGTACCCCAGCATGGAGACACTTGTACCACTGTACCCCAGCATGGAGACACTTGCACCACTGTACCCCAGCATGGAGACACTTGTACCACTGTACCCCAGCATGGAGACACTTGCACCACTGTACCCCAGCATGGAGACACTTGTACCACTGTACCCCAGCATGGAGACACTTGTACCACTGTACCCCAGCATGGAGACACTTGTACCACTGTACCCCAGCATGGAGACACTTGTACCACTGTACCCCAGCATGGAGACACTAGCACCACTGTACCCCAGCATGGAGACACTTGTACCACTGTACCCCAGCATGGAGACACTTGTACCACTGTACCCCAGCATGGAGACACTTGTACCACTGTACCCCAGCATGGAGACACTTGTACCACTGTACCCCAGCATGGAGACACTGGAGACACTTGTACCACTGTACCCCAGCATGGAGACACTTGCACCACTGTACCCCAGCATGGAGACACTTGCACCACTGTACCCCAGCATGGAGACACTTGCACCACTGTACCCCAGCATGGAGACACTTGCACCACTGTACCCCAGCATGGAGACACTTGTACCACTGTACCCCAGCATGGAGACACTTGTACCACTGTACCCCAGCATGGAGACACTTGCACCACTGTACCCCAGCATGGAGACACTTGCACCACTGTACCCCAGCATGGAGACACTTGTACCACTGTACCCCAGCATGGAGACACTCGCACCACTGTACCCCAGCATGGAGACACTTGTACCACTGTACCCCAGCATGGAGACACTTGTACCACTGTACCCCAGCATGGAGACACTTGTACGCACCACTGTACCCCAGCATGGAGACACTTGTACCCCACTGTACCCCCCCAGCATGGAGACACTTGCACCACTGTACCCCAGCATGGAGACACTTGTACCACTGTACCCCAGCATGGAGACACTTGCACCACTGTACCCCAGCATGGAGACACTTGTACCACTGTACCCCAGCAACGAGACACTTGTACCACTGTACCCCAGCATGGAGACACTTGCACCACTGTACCCCAGCATGGAGACACTTGTACACTTGCATGGAGACACTTGCACCACTGTACCAGCATGGAGACACTTGTACCCCCCCAGCATGGAGACACTTGTACCACTGTACCCCAGCATGGAGACACTTGCACCACTGTACCCCAGCATGGAGACACTTGTACCACTGTACCCCAGCATGGAGACACTCGCACCACTGTACCCCAGCATGGAGACACTTGCACCACTGTACCCCAGCATGGAGACACTTGCACCACTGTACCCCAGCATGGAGACACTTGTACCACTGTACCCCAGCATGGAGACACTTGTACCACTGTACCCCAGCATGGAGACACTTGTACCACTGTACCCCAGCATGGAGACACTTGTACCACTGTACCCCAGCATGGAGACACTTGCAACACTGTACCCCAGCATGGATACACTTGCACCACTGTACCCCAGCATGGAGACACTTGTACCACTGTACCCCAGCATGGAGACACTCGCACCACTGTACCCCAGCATGGAGACACTTGTACCACTGTACCCCAGCATGGAGACACTCGCACCACTGTACCCCAGCATGGAGACACTTGTACCACTGTACCCCAGCATGGAGACACTTGTACCACTGTACCCCAGCATGGAGACACTTGTACCACTGTACCCCAGCATGGAGACACTCGCACCACTGTACCCCAGCATGGAGACACTTGTACCACTGTACCCCAGCATGGAGACACTCGCACCACTGTACCCCAGCATGGAGACACTTGTACCACTGTAACCCAGCATGGAGACACTTGCACCACTGTACTCCAGCATGGAGACACTTGTACCACTGTACCCCAGCATGGAAACACTTGTACCACTGTACCCCAGCATGGAGACACTTGTACCACTGTACCCCAGCATGGAGACACTTGTACCACTGTACCCCAGCATGGAGACACTCGCACCACTGTACCCCAGCATGGAGACACTTGCACCACTGTACACCAGCATGGAGACACTTGCACCACTGTACCCCAGCATGGAGACACTTGTACCACTGTACCCCAGCATGGAGACACTTGTACCACTGTACCCCAGCATGGAGACACTTGTACCACTGTACCCCAGCATGGAGACACTTGTACCACTGTACCCCAGCATGGAGACACTAGCACCACTGTACCCCCGCATGGAGACACTTGTACCACTGTACCCCAGCATGGAGACACTTGTACCACTGTACCCCAGCATGGAGACACTTGCACCACTGTACCCGAGCATGGAGACACTTGTACCACTGTACCCCAGCATGGAGACACTTGTACCACTGTACCCCAGCATGGAGACACTTGTACCACTGTACCCCAGCATGGAGACACTTGTACCACTGTACCCCAGCATGGAGACACTAGCACCACACATAACAGGGCGGGTCTACTCAACACCACACACATGACAGGGCGGGTCTCCCCCAGACATAACAGGGCGGGTCTCCCCCAGACATAACAGGGCGGGTCTCCCCCAGACATAACAGGGCGGGTCTACTCAACAAAACTTTTAAAATAGTGAACAGTTTGGAGGATGTTGATCTCGACAACTTCTATAATTAAAAGATCAGATGAAACACTGGAAGGAGGCGCCGGCCTGGTGCTCAACAAGCCACAGTCTGGGACAGAACACAGGCGCTTGTTCACCCACGGAACCGCCTACCCGCCCAAGCCGTGAATGCTAAAACATTACTTCAATTCAATATGGTGTTAGGTCGTCTCCCCGGCTCGGT